CTCAAAAATGACCCAACTCGGGAGCACTCTTTAAAGCCCAATAATAAATAAAATGTTAAAAGGCCAAATTCTGCAAACGAAGCCCACAACTACATTACAAACGGGCCAGCTCCAAAAGGCCGTTTTTTAATTTCAGATACCTGCCCCTAAATAAAAACCGGCTAAAACCAACTTTAAGCCCCTCACCTTACAAGATTGGTAAGTTTTAACCCATAACCTTATAATATAACACTTTTAACCTTTTATCTTATAAAATTTATAGGTTTTAACTATTCATCTTACAAAATTAGTAGGTTTTAACCCCTTACTATACAAAATTAATAGGTTTTAACTCCTCATCTTATAAAATTAGTAAATTTTAACCCTTCATCTTACAAAATTAATAAATTTTAACATCTCATTTTATATTATGACATTTTTAACCCCTTATCTATACAAATTAAAAAAAAAAACCCCAACTAAAAACAAAGTAAAAAAATCCGGTAAGTCCGGTAAGTGAATTGCAAGTCCGGTAAGCAAACGGTAAGAACCAATAACAATTCCGTAAAAAAAATAAAAAAAAAAAATGAAATTAAAATTTAAGATTTTTAAAAACAAAAAACAAACGAAAATAAAAAGCAAACAAAAAAAACAAAAAAAAAATAAAAACCAAAAATAAGGGAAAAGTAATTTCCTTAAATTGGAAAAAAGGGAGGGTAAAAAAAACAAAAAAAAAAGGAAAGAAGTAAAAACTAACAAATTTAAAAAAGGAAGGAACAAAAACTAAAAAAATTAAAAAGGGGCAAAATAAAAAAGGAAAAGCCAAAAACCAACAAATTTGGAAAGGAAAGGGCTAAATGTTGGTTTTTGCCAATAAAAACCAGACCCTAAAATAAAACTCGCCTTCCCGCTGCCCCCGTTGCTGGTGGTGCCTTCTTCAACCGCCGCCGAACAACAAATCCCGTTCCAATTCCCAATCACCATCTTCCTTCTCCAGGAGAATTATGTAATCCAGCATCCAGTTGCTGATAGGACTGCTTCTTTGAGTTTCTCAGTTTATTCCTTCAACTTTGCTATTTTTTCAGTGGAAAACTATCAATGGAGAACAAGGTAATGATTCATTTACCCCCACTTTCTGCTTCTGCCTTTTTCGGCCGAACCCCCACTAACAAATAAGACATTAAATTGATAATTAACTTAGGACTGGTTAATTGAATGCTAAGAGTGTGATGTGGAGCATAAAAATTAAGCAAAGGGTTTAATTAGATTTTTATTGTTGGTTGGTTATCTGAGAATCAGGGTTTCGAAATGGGATTAGCTTCACAGCGTTCAAAAAGAGCAAGACGCAATGATGTCGGTTTAGAGGAGGATGGTGATTTTGAAGATGAAGAGCTAATGGTTAGTAAACGTTTAAATGATTTATGTTTTGATTTGATCCGCATTATTTTTTCCATGTTTTTTCGTTTGATTCTGGATTTATGATGTAGGTACAAAATGGGGAAGAGGAAGATGAAGATGATGATGTTGATTCTGAGGATGGATTAGAGGAGGAAGATGAAGATGAAAATTCAGAAGAACTCGATGCTGATTCTGAGGATGGAGAAGAGGAGGAGGAGGAAGAAGAAGAAGAAGAAGAAGATGGAGAGGAATTGGAGACAGAAGATGATGGTAATGACAAGGATGATGTCCATAAAAGTAATGAGATGGAAGAACTTGAAAAAGAGTACATGGCTCTTCGCCAACAGGAGCAGTAAGATTTATCTTGGACATCTCTTCCCCAGTTTGCTCACAAAAAACCATTTTAAATGTTTAATTATGTTAGTTTCTTTATAAAAAAAAAAATTCCAATATCATATTTATCTTGTTTCTTCTCGTCTTAGGGATATAGTGAAGAATCTTAAGCGTCATAAGGATGAAGATCTTAAAAAGGGTCAAGCAGTGAAGAACCAAAGGGTAGGGTGATTTTATTTATAATGGTGGAATAAATAGTTTGTCTTCCCAGACGATAGAATTTTTACTTTGAAATTCTCTTTGTATAATGATGATATCATTTTCAGTTGACTTTGCTTTGATGTTATTCAAAATTTTCATGTTGTCAATAATTTTTACTAACATACTTTAAAACTTCTCTTTATTCTGTTAAGGCTCTATGGGATAAAACTCTTGAGTTTAGATTCTTACTTCAGAAAGCATTCTCCAATTCAAATAGATTGCCGCAGGTATGGTTTTTTGCATGTTTCATTTGATTTTTTCAGTTGTCTTTAAACATGCTGGTTAATTATGATGGATTTGTCCTTTGCTGATAAAAAGGAAAAAAAAATGATCGATCATCTGCAGGAGCCAGTTCGGTCTTCATTTTGTGCATTAGGTGAAGGAGTTAGTGAAGCATATTCAGACCTTATTACTGCATCCAAGAAGACTTTAAATTCTCTACTGGAACTACAGGAGGTATGGCTTTTTCTCAGGAAATTCTATTGCCTGCTAAGGATCAATTTTGCATCTAATAACTTGTCAGATTTTACCTTTTAAAAAAGAAATCTATTAACTCATTTGATGGTGTGTTATTGTGGCTCCGTTGATACATCATTAATGAGTCTTTTACCTCATGTTACTACTGTGCTATCCTTTTAGGCTTTGCTGGAGAAGAATCCATCAATAGCTCAATCTGCCGATGGTATGGCATGCAGACTTGTCAATTTTTTGTTATGCTGTCTTGTGTGGGGGAGTGTATAATTCAGGTTCTCAACAACTATGAAGCAGTCTTGATATTGCTTTTTTGTCCTGACCTATTATGTCCTGTTAGGTAATTCTGGGCAGTCATCTAAAAAGCCTTCTGGTGATTCTACAAACATGGATGGGGAAGGTGATGAAGAATGGTTAAGGATTTCTCAGATGCATAAAAGGTACTTCTTTTCTGAAAGTCATAAAAGGAAAAGATATTTCAGTCAGACAGTAACTATCTATGTGATTGCTATTTCTTCTATATCATAAAATGAACTTCAGTAACAATCTATTTGATATTAATGTTTCCTTGACTCAAGTGTTTTGTATAGAAAGAACGGTAACAGGTGGAATATCTTCAGACCCCTTGCTTTCCTTGATTTCTTTTCTTCTTGTTCTCTAGTTGAACAGGATTGGATTGTCTATTAATGATCAGATGTTGCTGTACTGTTTGAATAATTTCCTTCCTTTTTTTTTTTTTCATCAAAGCTCGGGAGACCTTAACAATTTGTCCATATCACTTTGCTGTGTGCATCATACTTTGTGAGTGTGATGGGACAAATAACATTTTTCATTTTTCATTAATATGCATGCATCTTGCAGAGTTGCTTCCTTCAGAGACAAATCTATTGATAAATGGCAGAGAAAGACTCTAGTTACAACTGGTGCTGCTGCTATCAAAAGCAAGTTGCAAGCTTTTAATCAGGTTAGGTCTCATGAGTCATCACTGAGCTGACGTGCATGCCAGATAAGATGTGAAATGAGACTTACTAATTTTTTTCCCGCGTTGACAGAATATTAGTGAACAAGTTGCTGCTTATATGAGGGATCCAAGTAGAATGATAAAGCAAATGCAACAAAGAGGATCAACTGTTGGCATATTTGGGACTGTAAGTTAATAAATATCCTTTATAGTTTGAGGATACAAATTAGACGTGGATGAGGTGTATTTTTAAGGCACAATCTGTAGCCATGCTTTTGTTTTACTGATAACTGGGGCTTACTTGGGCAGGTTCCACTAGGGATTGGTAGTGCGAATGGAGAGGTGATCTTTCTTATTGGATTCCTAACAACCAAATATGCGTTATAATGATACATGGGGTGTTTTCTCAATCTGTTTTCATTGCTGAATAGTGGGCATTGACTATCTGGTGAAAATAGAAGCAGAAATCTGCCATCTAAGACCAATTGGCTCTTTTTCTTCACAGGAGGCACAAACTGAAGGTGACCATGAACTCCTTGATGATTCTGAATTTTACCAGCAATTGCTGAAGGAATTTTTTGAGACAATTGATCCAACGTCATCCGGTAAATATTCAATTTCATCTTGTAAATACTCTCTATACACTTAGCACGAGTTGCATCTATATATGGCATATGTCATATCTCATTGCATTTTGCGTCGGTAGTTTGGCTCATATTTATAGTTGCCTTAGGGGTCCAACTCTTGTTCTCACACCAAATCCTAAGAAGCAGGGCTTAATGGCCAGATTTTGCAAACAATGGCCATATGCTAGAAATAGCTTTAACGCAGTCACCACTTATTCATCTCTTTCGTCATTCATTATTCACAGAGGCCGCCTTCTATGCTTTGAAAAGGCTACAAACCAAGAAGAGAAAAGTAGTTGATCGTCGTGCCTCAAAGAATCGCAAGATCAGGTCAGTGGTGTAAAATTCTTGAATCAGTACTGCACAATTTGGGTTCAACATCTTGATTTGGTGCAGTCTTTAATGTTCCATATTTCTTTTTGAATAACATTCATCCAGGTACCATGTCCATGACAAGATTGTCAATTTTATGGCTCCTCAGCCCATGAACCTTCCTCCCATGGCTCCCAAGTTATTTGAAAACTTATTCGGATTGAAAACCCGAAAACCTACCCAAGTCTGATAAAGCAGTTTATACCAGCCCTAATGGCCTCCAGGTTTTGTAATATTAGTTTTTTTTTTTTTTTCAAGCATCTTATTTTCTGCAGCATTTGATGTCTTGTAAACTTTATTTTTCATTTATAACTAGAATTCAAAGAAAAATCAAACAAGCTGTGCACGGTATTAAACCCTGGAAAAGTTGTAAAACAAATCTTTCATTTTGCATCATCCCTTAAAAAAAAAAAACAACAATAATTTGGAAGGGAAGCCAATGAATAAACCTCTGTAACTGCCAAAAAGAATTTAAAATACCTTGAAAAATCTTAGAATAAATGATTTGAAATTAGGAGTATATGTTATTACGGCACATATGTATTCCGCTGACCAACAAATTTTCCCATTTTCCTTTTACCCCATCTAGAAGCTACCCTTTCTCATTCCACCATTTTTTCTGTAGACTACACCCACCTTCCCAGAAAAACAACGCTTCATTCTCTAACCGTCCTTTATAAGCAACAAATGTGCTTTCTGTGACCTGAACTTGTAAAAGCAATGGCTCCAATCTCCACCATCTTCTTCTTCATCCTTGATTCCTTGAATTTTCTTTTTACTCCAGTTCCACCATCATCTCATCATCTTGCCTCTAATCCCAACCGTCAAGCTTTCTCCCCAATCGGAGACGACGTTTTCCTTCATGGATTTTCTGTTTAATTTCTCATGAAGTATGATCACATGCCTGCAATTCGATCTCCAAGCCATCATCATACATATGTTGCATAGTTTAAAGCAAGGTTCGAAGAACAAGTGAAGAAATGTTTCAGCTGTTTTTCATTTCCTTTCTTCTTTCTTTCATCTGATCAAATGCTTCCTTTTGTACCAATTCCTTTGTAGTGTAAACATTTCTCGTCGTAATATATTTTGTATAATATTATAAACCATGTGTCGAATGAATATCTTGTTGTTTTTATACATCCGTTGATGCACAAAGTCATTGTGAATATTCGATAAATTTCATAAGAATTAATCTTGCAAAAGTCTCAAATTGAATTTTGCAGAGAAATATCCAATGAGATTGAGTATATTATATGTTAAGACCGGTGAGTTAAAGCTTGGAAGAAAAGAAAAACCCAAAGAAGTTCACTTTATTTTTGTTTAAGTTATATTAAACCATAAAAATAATAGTCATCTCACCATTCTCATTTAATGATTAATTTAATGTAATCTAACAAAAATAAAATAATAATAAACTTAATGAAAAATAAAATAAATAAAAAAAAAAAAAACATTGTTAAAAATAAAATAAAAAAAAAAATAAAAAATTATTGTTACATTTTAGATTATATTAAAGGGAAAAGGAAAAATGAAGGTAATAATATTAAAAATGTTAAAATATTTATAATAATTATACCATAAATTTAATAAAATAAATATTTTTATTTTTTATTTTATATATTTATTAATTGTGATTAAATATTTTGATTTTTTTATATTAAATTATATAATTTAAATTATTAAATAATAAACAAAGTCCTTAAATTTAAAAATTATTCCTTCACTGAATAATTTTCATTTTACAATTAAAACTGTTCTATATTGCGAAACAAAAAGCAGAGTCAAGAAATTAAATCCTGCTTATTAGAAAATCAACTCTATTCCATTACTATTTCGTTCCTCGAGATTGATTTGGGTTTGAAGAACAGAGAGAGATAGTGAGAAAGATTGCGAGATGCATCTATGGCCGTCAGCAGCGCTGAGGGATTCGTTCAAGGTTTCTTATCTGAAGAAACTCGAATGGAACCTCCACAGGATGAACAGCGAGAAGCGGTCTCAGACTCCGACCAATCGACAGAAGCTCTTGGACAACAAAGATGTTGCCGACGACGCTGTCGCAGCGGAGGTGTCCGTGTCTAATATCGCCTCTGGTGCCTTCTCGTTCTTCAGAGACACGCTGATGGTCCTTTCTTGCTTCTGCTGTGGAGGTACTTACTCCTCTCTTCTTGCTCTTGCGAAATTCTCTT